ATCCCTTCCCCTGAGCTGGAGCCGCAGAGGCATGAGAGCTAAAATGAAATTGTTCCGGGCCTTGCCTGGAGGGCGACCAGCGCCGTTTCCCCCGGAAGCTTTTGTGCTGCAGGTAAAGTTCTGGGCGGAAGATCTGAGGAGCCTGCAGCTCCCCTTTCTGGCCAAAGAAAAGGGCCTCCTTGAGAAGGGCACCACCCAAGCCCACCCACTCCTCCGTGCTGATTTCAGGGCCTGGCTTAGTGGCGTGCTGCCGCTCTGCCCTCGCCTTGGCATCTGAGCCACCCTCTTGAGTTACAGCCTTGGGCAGGTGCACCGAGCTGGGCTATAAATATCCCCAAGAAACTTAACAGGCAAGAAGGAGGCATCTTTTAGGAACCCGGTTGGCTGCACGAGGCCAAACTTGCCAGAGCTTTGCCCAGACTTAAGGCCAGAGCCCTTCTTCGGAACCCTTGACCAAATTGCTTGGGGACAGACCAAGCAGTACAAGTTTTTCACCCAGCCTTGTCCCAGGACGGCCCTCCAAGAAGCCTTCCAGCAGAACCTGGGAGGCCTCTGCTCACTCGCCCCCTCCAATGCCCTCTGGGCACCTCTGCGTCTGCCCCCCCCAGAAGTCTGCCCACTTTTCTCTGCAATTAATCCCATCACCTGGGGGGTGGGGTGGGAGAGCCTGTGCAAAGATGGACTGAGCAGTCCTCTGCAGGAAGGCTGGTTGGGCTTTCAGGGAGGGGCAGAATTTGGTATTCAGAGGGGAGATGAGCTTCTGGTGTTACGTTCATCCCCCGAGGGAATCCCCACTTCATGCCTGGATTTTTCTGCACCATCATTCATGTTCCCTCCATCCCTTCATTAAAATAAAAAAAAGGAGAGGGGGGAAAGCCAGACGGATGGTCTGAAAAAAGCCCCTTGTTCCTTCCATCCATCCACGGAGGCCACAGGTCACCGTCCCGAGGCTGAGCCTCTGAACCGATTGCCAAGTCCCTCTGAAGGGGTGCCGGCTCCAAGGACAACCAGTTTTGGAGATTGTCATCTCTGGGCCCAGGATGCGCCCCCGACTGGCTGTTGTCTGGGGGACAGAAAATGGGGAACACCAGCTGACCCCTTCTTGTCATCAGTCTTGCCTGGTTTAGGAAGCCGATCTGGTTAATTCTGGCACAATTCTCTGGTCATCATTACAGTCAGCTTTGAAACTTCAGGGACTCACTAAGAGGCTGCTCTTCTCCCATGCAGATGGATTTATTGGCCTTTTAAGGACTGTGATCATCTTGAACAGGGAACGTAGCCAAGAAAGCAGAAGCTTACTTCTTCTCCATCATCCTCACCCACGAGGCAAGGAAAAGGTTGGTGGGATTTTACAAGATTCCTCGTCACACTTTTGTGCTCTCCCACCTGCATTTATTGGTACCGGTCACGGGTCTCGTGGAAGCAGCCCACAATCGAAGGTTGGCTTTTAAAACCAGTCACGGGCCACGACCGACACAAAATGCTTAGTCAGTTGGAAAAACCTTGGCCCAGAACTGGTGGAACCTGCCCATCCCGGCAGCAGCAGCAGGATGTCTGCGCTGCACCGCCAGGGAGGATATGGGACAGGCGAGGGGCAGAGCCACCTGGGCACAATTGCCTTCCAGGTCTGGGCAGGTGTGGATGTTCCCAAGTGAAGGGGGATAAAAGGGCCCGAAAACCGGACTTTGGAATTTCCCACGCCACAAAGAGTGGAGCTGTGGGTCCCATTCAGCATAAAGAGGGAGCAGCTGCCTTGGTCTCCTGGCCCCTCGGCCACAGCCGTCTCCCAGCAAAAGCGGAGGTGCCACGTCTATCTGCAAGCCCTGATTTCATGGGCTTCATGGACCAACAGCCACAAGCCTGAGATGCAGAAAAGCCTCCTCTGGAGGGCTGGAGCCAGTGGCCCTCGGAGCAGCCTCCCCAGACCCAGTCAAGTCCCAGTTTGTCCCCAGCTGCAGACAACCTCCTTGTGCGGAGCAGGATGGAAGGGAGGCCAAACCGGATGCAGCTTTTGCAGGCTGCCAAAAGTGCCTTTTCGCCCAGAAGCATTGGAGGGAGGGAGGGAGGGAGGGAGCGCTGTTCTGGCTGGCTTCAGCAATTGTTGGCTTTGGAGGAGGCCAGAGGGCGGAGCTCTGAAGCCCCCCCCCCAGCACTGGCCTTTGAAAGGGGCTGCTCAGCATTGCGTGGTGGAAGGAAGGCCCCGGGGGGCCAGAGGCTCCTTGTGCTGCTTTTGGGAGGCGCTGGGCACATCTCCCGCTTAAGGACTTTTCCATGGAAGGTTTAAAAAAGAGCACGGAGGTTCAAGGGTTGGCACAGCCACAGGAAGGGGCTTCCTCCAGAGAAGCCGTGGATCGTGGCCACGGGAAGACCCACCAGGTGGCTGACAGTCCTGGGTAGGCATCTGTTTACACTGGGAGGATGCATCCTGCCCTGCTACTGCTCCGCTTTGGTGGTGAATGTTTTTCAGGAGCAGAATTAGCTCTTGTGGACTGAATCACCTCTGGGATCAGCTTCTGTTTTCCCATCTTGAGTGACACACCCGTGGCTGCCTCTGGCACAGCTGGAATTGGGAGGGGGCAGCAAAGGAAAACTCAACAAAGCTTGTTTTCTTCTGCTCCCTGGACCTCCACTCCCCCATCCTTGCCAGCTGCTTTGTGTTGCCATTATTTCCCTCTCCCACCCTCCCAAGGAGGACCCTCCGTTCTTCCACGATGACCCCTCCAGGTAGACTGAGGCATGCTTGATTGTGCTGCCCGCCTTGCCAGTTGGAAGGGAAACACCCACCCACCTCATGTTGAGCTTGGCCCCCGGTGACTCACAGAGGCATCCATTTCACTCTGGCAACATCCTGGAAGTCCCCGGTTGCTCCTTTAATGGGATGTTTGTTTGAGGTTCTCAACCTTGTTTGCAGGTTCTGGATCTCCTGGTGGTCCACCATCCCGATTACCCTTTATATATTTTGCACAGCTGAAAGCAGGTGCAATGGCAGAGATGATCGACAGGGTAATTGCTCCTGGGGAATCTGAGAGCGAATGCTGTCAACAAAAAGGGAGTCCAGTTCACCCCTTGTCATGTGCTGGGGGCCCAACCAGGAAGACTGCCCTAAGGGGTCTGGTAGCCCCCCGTCTTTTCTAGCCCAAATCCAGGTTGCGAATTTTTGGCATCATGAAGGATCGGATTGCTGCGGGGACCTAAACAAGGAATGCACACACACCGCCTTGGGACTTACTAAGCCTACATTTAATAACATATCATTTAGTAACCTCTAACAAACAGAAGCTCCCCTGGATCCTTATGCAGATCCAGCCAATTGTTCTCGGAGGAGACTTCCTGTTGCAACCCAGTATGAGTAAATGTTTTGGCCTTTTTGCCTTCCAGGCAGATAGGTTGCCTGCAAAATTATGGAAAGATAATTGATCGTCTGAGGATGAATCTTAAACTTACAACAAACAAATTTTTCCGGGTTGAGTGCAATTTGTGAAAGCTCGTTCTGACTCTGCTGGAGAAAAGATGTGGGCACTGGGGAAAGGCTCTTGCGGGTCACAGCGGATGCAGTCAAAACGGCACCGCCAGGCAGGCGCGGAAAGGGACGGGTTTGGGCGGGAGAGAAGCAGGGGGAGAGGGAAGGGATCCTGGAACTGCTTCCCTGGAGTTCAGCCGTGCTTCCCGGTGCCCAGAATCTGCACTCGCCCACCGCACCCCGTGGCCGGCATAGAGCCCGGCTCCCTTAGCCAAGAGTCTGCATTGGCTGAGAGGGGCTGGGCTGCTTCTGGTCAAGGCGTCCTGGTAACCTGCAGTTTGGAGGGTGAGTGAGCAGCCCGCACAGGGAGCTGGCTCAGGGGGCCCCCAGGGGGTTAGTTAGACGTGTGTTTTTCCAAGTGGGCTGCTTTAAGATCTGTGGACTTCAACTCCCAGAATTCCCAGCCAGCATGCTGGGAGTTGAAGTCCACACATCTTAAAGTTGTCACCTCAAGCAGCAATCGCAGCTGAAGTTTAGTCTGTGGTGTGACCCCCATGGCTAGCCGACCCAGAAAGTTTGGAGGCTGAAACTTTGAATGGCATTCCACCAGAGGCGGGTTTCAGCAGGTTCTGACCAGTTCTGGAGAACTGGTAATGGAAATTCTGACTGGCCCCTCCCCCATCTATTCTCTGCCTCCCAAATCCCAGCTGATCGGGAGGAAATGGAGATTTTACAGTATCCTTCCCCTGGAGTGGGGTGGGAATGGAGATTTTACAGTATCTTTCCCTTGCCACGCCCACCAAGCTACGCCCACCAAGCCACACCCACAGAACCGGTAGTAAAAAAAATTGATACCCACCACTGCATCCCACCATGCCAGACTAACCTCCTCTGACCTGGGCAGACCAGGCCCTCTCTGGTTCTGGCGCAGCATGTGCGAATCCAGCCAAGGGGGGTTTATTCAGAAGCATCTGTGGTTGGTGAGGAAAAGGCAGCTTGGTGACCAGGGCCTCCCTTTCACCTTTGGGGTACCTGGCTACTCCTGCATTGAAGGGAAGGGTCAGCACCCCAACATCATTGTGGGTGGAACTGGGAAGCTTTGCCTCCTCCTTGTGGTTTCCTGCCTGGGCATCCGGAGTGCCCAGAGGGCATGCAGGGCTGGCGCTGCCCCTCCTGGCTTGCCACTTTCTCCCGAGTAGAGCTGAGCAGGCGGGGGGGGCTTCTGCAGACGTCAGCCTCCCCAGCCCACCTCCGGGACCCCCGTTGCAGCCCCGGGGCGCCTCCTCCTCCCTCCCTGCCAAGCGAAGCGGCTGGCGACGGGGATGGTCGGGGTAGACTGCCTCTGCTCAAGGCGGGAGCGCCAGCCCTGCGAGGGAGGCCGCCGCCGCCGCCCTGCCCTTCTTTAGGCATCGGCGAGGGCAGGCGGGGCCCGGGCGGAGGGGGCGGCGCGCGCGGAGCCCTTTCCCAAAAAAGCATTGGCTGCCCGGCGGAATGCGGCGCCCCCACCCCGCCCCGCGAGGGTACTTATCCGCCCGCGGCCGCCGCGGAGCCGCTCGCACTCCGGCCACTTCGACCGTCCCAGCGCAGCTCCGCCGCCGCCGCCTCCTCTTCCTCCTCCTCGACGGACTTTTGGCAACTGCCCCGCCGCCGCCGCCGCCATGGACGCCATCAAGAAGAAGATGCAGATGCTGAAGCTGGACAAGGAGAACGCGCTGGACCGCGCCGAGCAAGCCGAGGCCGACAAGAAGGCCGCCGAGGAGCGCAGCAAGCAGGTGGGCCGCCCCCGCCCCCCCCCCGGGAAGGAGCAGCCGTTCGCTCTGGACCTCCCGAAAGAGAAGCCGGGATGCCTTCTGCGCTCCCCCCACGGCCCGCTTCGGGAATTGGGAGGGGGGTCTCGGCATCGCCCTCGGCGGGGATTGGGAAGAGCGCGGGGGGAGGGGGCTGTCCTCCCTGGACTGGGCTGTGTCCTTCTGCCGGCCGATCCTCCCCCCCCCCCCCCTTTGAAGTGGGGATCCTGGATCCCAGGTAGTTGGTTGAAGGGACCCGGGTTGGTCGTTTCCGAGAAAAAGCAGCCAAGTAAAGTTGATAGAGCCACGTTGGGGGGAAAGACCCCCCTCCCCCCTTTTCCTCCCCGGGGAGTCTCATATCATTAGTTACAGCACATCAGGGCCAATCTAAGCCTTCCCCACTTGAAGCCTTGCAGATGTGTTGGGACTACACCTCCGGTCGTTCCCAGCTCAAACAGCTGGGATTTGAGGCCACAGCTGAAAGCAGCTGGATGATGGAAGGTTTTGATGGGGGGGAACCTGGCTTGGTTCAGGCTCTGGGGCTTCACCCGAAGTACAGGAAGGCGACTGACTCGGGCATCGAACCCAGAGACCTTAAGGCAGCCCAGCCCTCTTTTCTCAGCTGGCCTGGTCCTCCGCAGGCTTGAGGACTTTCCAACTGGCCCTGTTCCCGCAATAGGCTTAACCTGGGTAAACTTGCTTCCCCCTCCTCTGGGGCCGCAGTTCCCCTAGCCATGAACTGCAGCTTCATTCAGCAACACTCTGGGTCCCAAAAGCAACCACAGCATCCAAGTTGAACTCGGTGACCGGGTTGTGCCCCAGGGAGGGGGCAGATGGAAGGGAAGGCTGGACCGGGAGAGATTAAAAGTGCTTCCTCCTCTTTTTGCCTCTGGCCTGTGTGGCTAGTTGGAGGAAGACATTGTGCAGTTGGAAAAGCAACTGCGGGTCTCGGAGGATGAGAGGGACCGCATCCTGGAGGAGCTGCATAGCGCCGAGGACAGCCTACTCACTGCGGACGAGAAGGCCACCAAGGTAGCCTCTCTGGATGCGCTAACCTCTTTCTCTCCTGTTTTCCTCCCTCTGTCCTTCTGCACTTCTTCTCCTTCTTCACGCCGTCTTCACGCCATCGCGTTGCCTGCTGCACCCCCTTCCCTTCCCCCCACTCCCCCTCATCACCCCCCCTTCCCTGGTTCCCAACCTTCGGGCAGTTGGAAGATGAGTTGGTGTCTCTGCAAAAGAAGCTGAAGAGCACTGAAGATGAGCTGGACAAATATTCAGAGTCCCTGAAAGATGCCCAGGAGAAGCTGGAGGTGGCAGAGAAGAAAGCTACAGATGTGAGTACTTCTCTAACCCCCCCGCCCCCACCCAATGAGCATGTGCCCCCACCTTTCTGCCTCTTCTGGTCACTCAATCTCTCTCCCTGCTGTGGGGATCAGCCCCCCTGCCAGGACCCAAGCATGAGGCCTTGGCATGAGATGTGCCATCCATCAGCCAAGAATCCTGGACACCTGGGTAGCTCCTGCTGGTCCAGATGCCCAGCCGGTATTGTTGCCAAGGAAGCAGCAGAGATGTGTCCTGCTGTGTTCCTAGGAGCCATACCTGGAGCTGTTTTGGGGAAGGTTGCTTGGGATATCAGGCCGGAGCCCTCAGGTGTAAAAAAAAAAAAAAAAAACTTCTTCCCAGAACCAAATCCTTGGAAATGGAGAGGGGCTCCGATGCGTGTAAGAGACCCCACAGCACCCACATTGGTGAAAATGCTTGTCTGGGCCAGCAGACCTATTGAGTCCTTGAGCCGAGATTCCCATGTGGGAAAAGGTACCCAGAGGACAAATGCTGATGCCTCAGAGGTGCAAAGATAGGCCGCTGATGCTTGATGCCCAAGGCGTGCCAAGAGGCTTCTTGTCGTGCCAAGGAGGGGATACTTGCTGGGTCGGCAATCAGTCAAGGCTGGGGCCGGATCCAGAGACCCGGTGGGTGGGGGTTATATATAGCTCAGCACTTTATATGGAAGAGGGAGCGAGCGCTCTCTCCCACCCACCTGTCTAAGTATCAAATCGTCCTATGGCTGTAGCCCTCAAGCATTCCCGGCCCCACAGCCTTCCCTGCAATTCATTCCAAATCTGGGCTGTCGGCCCCTTAAGGTTGGGGGGGGGAAGTCAGACATCCCAAGCAGATGATGTCATGCGGAGGGCTACCACTCTCTTTAAGGGAAAGAAACCAGCTCTCCCAGGCCTGCTAGAAAATGCCGTGATCACGTGGGGGTTTTAAGGCACAGCAAGAGCAGCCAGCCCAGAGCGGAGGAAAAGCCAACGTGGAAGACAAACGGGGCAGAGCCATGAGCGCTGGGAGCCGTTCTGAGGCTTTCACTTTTGCCTAGCTCCTTGTGGAAGGCTGGTTCTGCCCGGCCCAACAGAAATCTGACTTCCTTTCAACTCTGGAGCCGCAGAGAGCTTGTCCTCCGCAAGAGGCTGCTGTGCCTAATCTGGCTCAGATGCGCCCTCCGCGCTGTGGCTTTTCGATAGATGGGAGTCAGCATTCCAGCCAGGCGTTTATTTAACTTGTTCAAAGGAACCGCAAATAGATCCCGGGGAAGATATTCCTTATAAGGAAGAGAATGCAGACTATTTTGAAATAGCTTGTCTCGGTTAAAGGCAGGAGAGGAGGAGGAGGAGGGAGGGAGGGAGGGAGGGAGGGAAGGGGGCCAGAGAAATGCTACCGAATTTGCAGAGAGGAGGCTCTGCTGGTTTTTTTCACCCTCCAGGGAAAAAGGTTTATTTCCTTGTAGGCATGGAGGGGAATCGGGGGACCTTGTCCCCAGTGGTAGATTCTTCTTCTAAGTAGTGCACAAGTCTTGCCTTTCCTCCCTTTGGCCCTTAAAAGATTTTGTATTTTGTAGAAAGAGAGAAGGCGACTGCAGGGTTGAGGGTGTGGTAGGTGAGGAACAGCTGCTGGGACAGATGTGCAGGACGAGGGTGGAGGGGGGTGGCAGGAAGAGCTCACCTTTGCTGGCGCGACTGGGCCATGACTCATGGCTGTGCTCAGCCGTGCGTCTTGCATCACTTCCGTGGCGAGTACGAACTCTGCCTGGGGGAGGGGGGAGGGCCAGGCAGCCTGAGTAACCGTTGGGCTGGCTGGGAAGGTGTCTCCCAAGCTTCCTAACTGCACAGCTCCTCTTTCAAAAATACCTTTTCCCCCTTCAGGCTGGAACCTTGTAGATCAAGTGACCCTGCCTGAACATGCATTTTGCAAAAAAGGGGCCGGGAGCCCCTTCTGGAGGCTGCCAAGGAGGAGGTGGCCATGCCGCCTTCGAAGTCAAGATTCTCGTGGTTTTCTCTCCTGGGGAAACTAGGAAGGGGACAGGTCTGTTACGGCAAATCTCTCCTCTTTAGAAGGGGCTTTGTTCAGTCTAGTGAGGTGGTTTTCCGGATAAGGACAGCTGTGTTCCGAAGCCCCCGGCCCAATTACAGCACCCGTGTGGATTCCCTCCAGGTGCTTGAATGAGAGGCCAAAGTCGGGCTGGGAAAAGCCACCAATATCCTATTGCCTGCAGTCTGTCCTGGCTGGGCTTCTTCAGCCCTGTCGGCTCTTCCTCACCCTCCTGGCCAACCTTGCGGCTCATTGGACTGAACCAGCCGAAGTGTGATTTGGGTTGCCAGATTCTTATCCTTGGCTGGTTTTAGCTGCAGTTCCTCCTGGCGGATAAACCAGGAGGGGGAAATCTGATTATGCTCGCCTCTCATTTTCTCACCCAGATTTACGGAGAGAAAAAGGGGAGGAACAGGTCAGCCGGCAGAGCGGACAGAACTGGGCTGGGGGAGCAGAGATGACCTGGCTGAGGCTGTTAGCCTTGTAGTCCACACCATCTCAGCCCAGCACCAGGTTGGGGCTCTTTTGGGATAGTGGATGGGCCTCCTGTTGGCCTGCTGCTGTTCTCCAGGGTTTGAGTGGGGGTGGGGGGGATCTTGGAAATCTCAGCCTTCCAATCCTTCCATATTGGGAAAGCCCTGAGGTCATCACCAGTAGGCTCTGCTACTGTTTAACTGAGCATTTCTTTGCCCACTTGAAGGAGTCCCCGTCCTTGAAGATGGTTGCATGGGAGGGAGGTTTCCGGCCAGCTGTGCCCTTCCCCGGAGGTTGTAAACCGCCTTCTTTCCACAACTCTCTTTTCACACTAGCTGCTGCTTTCACGCCCATCCTGGGGATTTCCTCGGGAGTTGTGCTGGCTCGCCCAGTAATGCCCTTTGCGCCGCCCTCCTTGGTTTCTTGGGAACAGTCTCCCAGGGGAAGTCCCCAGATTTCTTCCCAGGCTTTGGGGGTCTCCTGGAAGTCAACCTATTTTTCCACAACAGTTTTTTCATTTGGTTGTTGCAAGACGGCTTGAGACACTGGGGGGAAATGGGGGGAGGGAGGTTGCCAGGTGTGAGAAGGGGGTGCCCTTTCTCCAGCACAGGAACGGCTCCTATCGCCTGTCCGGGGCCACCAGTGAGCTTCCCAGACTAGCCGGTTTTGGAGGATTCAGGATCCTGCTGTCCCCAAGACCGGCTCGCTCCTCCTCGGCTTTCTGCAGATGAGCCAGCACGTGTGATGCCATTCCTTAGGGCACTCCGAGTGGGGGGGTGGGGGGCCGGTCAGGCCTTTTTCTGCCCTCTCCCCTTCTGGGCCCTCCGTGGGGCGCTTGTGCTGGCACAGGCCCTGCAAAACGAGGCTCCCTGTCCCTTTGCCCCCCCCCCCGTCAGCAGGGCGCCCGCCAGCTGTTGCCCAACCGCTGCTGGGGACCATTTGCTGGGACTGGCAGATCAGCGGGGGGGGGGGATGCGCTTGTCCTGCCGGGCGGTTCGCCGCATCGGGCCAGCCTGAGCGGTGCGGGCTCTGCGGGGGCCGCCGGGGGCGTCCAGGCGGGGCTGAGGCGGGCTGGGGAGGCGGGCGCTGCGGCGCGCGGAGGCGGGCAGCCCGGCTGCTGCTGCTGCTCCTCCCTCCCTTCCCTTCCCGGCCCTGCCCGCCCGCGCCTTCCTCTTCCTCCGCTCGCCTGCCTTCCTCCTGCGCTGCGGGCCCGATGGCGGCGGGGCTGAGCTCGCTCGAGGCGGTGCGCAGGAAGATCCGCAGCCTGCAGGAACAGGCGGACAGCGCCGAGGAGCAGGCGGGGCGGCTGCAGCGCGAGCTGGACGAGGAGCGGGCGCTGCGCGAGCAGGTGAGTCGGCCGGGAGGGACAAAGGCGCCCCCCCCATCGGAGCGCTTCGCCCACCTGGCCGCCTCCCTCCCTCCCTCCCTCCCTCCCTCCCTTCCGCCCTGCGCGGCGGCCAGAGAGGGGGGGGGAGGCCGGCGCAGGGGATGCCGTCGGGAGGCCTTGGCCGCCCTGCCCTGCCCGGCCCTAACCCCGCAGGCAGCGCCCCTGCCCCGCCAGGTGCGAGGGAAACGGAGGAGGCGCCTTCCGCCTCCGCAGGGGCTCCAGGCTCCCCCTTCCAGCCTGCGGGCGATTCCAGCCGGCACGACCGCGGCCTCTCCAGATGGGAGCTCCCAGTTCAGGGTCCCTCTGGTTCCAGGGGCTCCCTGGATCCTTCGTGAGAGCCACCGCCTTTGGCGCCTTTCCCAGACCTCCCCCCTTTTTTCTGATGCTCTGCCCACCACGGGCCCTGAGCGCCCCACCCCAAAGGAGCGCCTGGTGAGGGTGGGGTCCTTTCCTGGCACCTGTAGGGCTCCTCCCAAGCGGGAATGGTCCAGGGTGCAAAACCACCGCGACTCTGCCTATTCCAGACCTCGACTGATTTTAGGGAACCCCACAATGGCAAGGAAGCCCTCAAGCCACTGGGACCAGCAGGAGCCTGTAACTGGGAGCCCCAGTCTGGCCCAATTTTGCACTTCTGGCTAAAAGGCTCCCTTGGAGTCCAAGGAAAGTTGCTTCCTGGGGCTGTTTTTGCGGAGACTGAAATCAGTTGGAATCTGGGTGAAGGAGTGGGTGCAAGGGGGCTAATATATGGGCTCCCTCCCTTTCTCTGGCGGCAGTGAAGACCAGGAGGGCCTTTGCTGCTGAACCTGTCCCGGGCTCTGAATGCCACCTTTTTAGCCAGGTAGCCTCGGGGTTTGGAGGCTGACCTGAACAGACCTCTCCCACCTGCCCCCTTGGCCAGCCAGAGGCCTGGACGGAATCCGGATCTTCTTTCCAAAGACAGTGGCACATGGGCATTGGGGAGGGTGGGGCTGTTGCTTTCCAAGGGGGAACTGAAGATCTTAATCCCTCTTTTGGCCAAACTCTGCCAGAATCAGCCACCTGGAGTGGAGCTGGTATTTATCGGCTGGCCTTGGACGCCTCCTTTGGAATAATGGTATTTTTGTGACCATATAAGGAAACGGCTTTGCTTTGTGGAAAATAGAAAGGGATAATAATTGGCCCTGCTGGTTTCTCTTTGGGAACAGGAAGTAGGAAAGTGACCTTTCAGCCTCCAAGGGACTCAGCCAGATCCCTTTTGGTGTAATGATTAACATGAGCGCCATCCTTTCTCTTTCCCTGCAGGGGAAAAGTATGCAAGGCAAATTCTGTTGTGTGGTTTGGGTTGGGTCCCCCCTCCCCCTCCCCTGAGATGTGCTTTGCTCTGCTTGAATTAAAAGTGGCTGAAGTAGCCACTGGATAAACTTGGCTGGGAGTTGATCTGGATTAGCATTCAAGAGGAGCATTTCCTGTAAGAGAAGGGTCTCCAGCCTTGGCCACCTTCAGCCTTGTGGACTTTAACTCCCAGAATTCCTCAGCTAGCATGCGCTGGCTGGGGAATTCTGGGAGCTGAAGTCCACAAGGCTGAAGGTGGCCAAGGTTGGAGACCCTTGCTGTAAGGGCGGCCTTTGCAGCCGCTTGGTCTCTTCGCATCGGGCTTGTGGACTGGCCTGGATGCTCTTCTCGTGGCTTCCTTCCTGCGTGGCCTGAGCCAAAAGGTAGAGACATGTTCAGGGTGGCCAAGGGAGCATGGCTGTTGGGTAGTTTTAGGAAGCCAAGAAGAGGGTGGGTTTGGTGCAAAGTTCAATGGCTGTGATCTGCTTTAATTCATTGGTGTCATTCTCTCTGTCCAATTTTAAGTTAAATTGCGCTTATGGCTTAGGGTAGAAAAAAAGTCATTTTTCTTCTCCTTTGTTTCTTGGCTGTGAAATGGAGAGAATGGACAGGCAGTGCCAAAACCAAGGATGTCAGACCCTGGTTCTGGGGAGGGGGGGTGTTCTACCCGCACCTCCCTCTTCGTGGTTTAATGCTGCCCTCCTGCCCACTTTGCAAAAACGAGCATCTTCCCTTCCTTCCTCCCTTCCTGCTCCCAGGCTGAGAGCGATGTGGCTTCTCTGAACAGGCGCATCCAGCTGGTGGAGGAGGAGCTGGATCGTGCCCAGGAGCGCCTGACGACAGCCCTGCAGAAGCTGGAGGAGGCCGAGAAGGCGGCAGACGAGAGCGAGAGGTGAGGCTGGGCCCCTTGGCATGGAGGGTGCTTGGCTGGCACAGAGTTACGCCCCCTTGGGATAATATAGTGTCCTGGTGTCCTTTGGGTTCTGAGGGGTCTGGCCTTTTGCCTTAAGGGGAACTCGGTGAAACATAGAGATGTAGAATGGGAAGGGACCTCAGAGGCCATCAAGTCCAACCCCTGCACATTGCAGAATTCACTATATCATCCACAATAGGTGGGTATCCAGCCTCTGTTTGAAAATTGGCAGTGAAGGGGAAGAAACCACATAATGGGACAATTTCAGGGCGACTTCCCTCTAGATCAGTTTCTCAATCTTTGCAAATTTAAGATGTGTGGACTTCAACTCCCAGAATTCCCCAGCCAGCCTCACGTCTTAAAGAGAAACACTGGTCTAGACCAGCGTTGATTAAGGAGAGGCTCTCTTCTCTCTCATACACACAAACACAGGCGCACACGCAGGGGAGAGGGAGAGGGAGTGCCGTCTGAACATGTGCAGGATGGAGCGTGTGGACAGGCGGGCTTTGGGTGCAGAAGCCTTGCAGGGTGCCATCCTCCCTTTCTGAGGCAGCCACTTTGGTCGAGTTAGGAAGGATGGTAGCATTTGAGGCACTTGGGATCAGGGGCACCAGGGTGGTTGCAGCCCAAACCGGGCGGGTGGCACTGGGAAGGCTGGGCTTCCTGGCTTTGCCCGTGACGATGCCCTTCTCTCCCAGAGGCATGAAGGTCATTGAGAGCAGAGCCCTGAAGGATGAGGAGAAGATGGAGATCCAAGAGATCCAACTGAGAGAGGCCAAGAACATCGCTGAGGACGCTGACCGGAAGTACGAGGAGGTGAGCCTCAGCTGACCCTGGCCTGGCATCTGGCCTGGCATCCCGTTGGATGTAGTGGGGGTCTCTGGGAGACTTTGGGAAAGGAAGGGCGGACCTTGGACAGCCGGGCTTCAGGCAGTCCCGCCAGGAATGGGCAGAAGAGGAGTGGAAGCTGTTTGCCAGCTCCTGCTTGCTTCTCTGTCCATCCAGTTGCAGTTTCAAGACCACCTTTGCCCAGAGCTTCCGCCCACCACATTTGACCAATCGGGGACAGCCTGCTAAGGGCCCCCACCTGCCAGGAGGGGGCTGATGGTGGAGCAGCCCCTCCTTGGAAACTGCTTGACCCCAAAGTCTGCACGTGGCTCTTCCGGAGAGCTTTGGTGGACCAATGTCTGTGCTGCCGCCTCTTAATTGTATAACGTCCAACTTTGTCTTTGAATCCTGATATTCCACTCTGTAAGCCTCCAGAGCCTGGCTAGTTTCAGAAATGCCTTTCAGAAGGAAGCAAGCCCATTCTGCCAGGCTCCCTTGCTGGGAATCCAGCACCCGGAAGGCAGCCGTTGGCTGGAGTGCCCTCTCCCGGCTTCATCTCCCCCCCGCTTCTGTTTCCCCGGCGGCTCTAGGTGGCCCGGAAGCTGGTGATCATCGAGAGTGACCTGGAGCGTGCAGAAGAACGGGCTGAGCTCTCCGAAAGGTGGGTCTCCCTCCCTGGGCGGCAGCTGCTGCTGCTGCCGGCCTTGCACCGCCCGTGGATGTGGTGGCTGTTGTGGTGTCCGCGGCAACCGTGCTCGGCTGTGCACCCCAGCGGAAGGGGCTGCGGTGTGTGTCCGCCTGCCTGTGTTTGCTTCTGTGTGCTTCAGGCCGTGTCGGAGTTAGGGGGAGCGCTAGTGTGGTTTGGGTCACTGCATGCTGTGGTTGTCACTGGCTCACCGATTTTTGTGAATGGCTCTTGTGCGTTTCCTGTGTTCACTAACAGCCAAGTCCGACAGCTGGAAGAACAGCTAAGAACAATGGACCAGACCTTGAAAGCGCTCATGGCAGCCGAGGAAAAGGTACTGGCACGCGTCAGCCTCTGTCGGTGAATGCAAAGACCGGGCTTAGCCGCAGCCCAGACCTTTCGGCTGCTTTCGCCTTCTTGCTGGCCTCCTTCTTTTCCTTGCGTCCTTCTGCATCGCTTGAGTGGCAGTTCTTTGTCTCCAAAAGCACCGATCGGACGTGTGTGTGCGTGGAAGCCTTGTGGCCGTGACCGAGACCTAGGAAAGGAGCTGACCGCTCTGGGACCCCTTGGGTTGTAACCAAGGCTGAACGTGGCCGTGGCCTCTGCCAGTCGGGCATCTAAGATGCTGCAGAGCTGCAAAACACCCACCTGTTTGCAAAAGGCTGCTGGTTTGGCTGCCTTTTATTAGAGGAGAGGGGCTCTTAATTGGGAGAACCTGCCCCTCCTTCCTTGCGTACCCTCCGCTGCAGGCGAGAGCGCAGAGGGGATTTTCTCTCCGTGCCCCTTGAGCACGGTAGCAGTCTCGATTTGGTGGTCCCAGAGGAATGCAGCTGCTTTCAAGGCCCTTTCCTTGAGCTTTAAGATTCCATTTTCATTTTTTTTCTATCTTTTCTCCCCCTCTCTTCTTGGGCTTGACTGGTCTTCCTCCTGCCCCCTTTCCTGGCTGCGTTCCCAAATAATAGCAAATGTGCTGAACTTGAAGAGGAATTGAAAACTGTGACCAACAACCTGAGGTCGCTGGAAGCTCAGGCGGAGAAGGTAGGACGAGCAGGGAGGAGCAAGGCAAGGTGGGGAAGAAAGCAGCTGCCCCCAACACAGGACTTGCCTTTGAGTCCCGCAGTTATCTGGCCTTGTCCACTTCGCTTTTCTGCCCACGAGTTACCAGGTGGCCTCCGAGGGGATATGCAGCCTCGTTCGGAGTCAAGCAGTTGGCGGTTTTGGCAACTGGCGGATGGGTGGGCCTCAACTCCCAGAATTTCCCAGCCAGCATAGATGGACTCCAGCCCTCCATGGGTGAGGAATCCTGTGAATTGAAGTCCACATGCCTTAAAGTTGTCTGCTCTTCTGGACCGCTCTGGATTTAATCTCAGATTGTGGCAGCTGGGCAGCCTGAAATCACCAGAAGTGCCAAGGATTAAAGGGAGACCTTTTGAGGTGGTCTCCCATTTGAGCACGTGGGCATCTGATCTGGCAGCGAAGCGGAAGGAAAGGAGCACCAGCGACTTTATTTCATGAATCTGCACACTGGGCAAATTTTCAGGGACTGGCATTTTTTTCCAGAGTGATTATTTTTTTAACTTTCTCTGGCTTTGTCACAAGCCAGGTTGGTATCAGTGGTTCTTCTTTGCCACCCAGCTCAGAGAGCGCCAAGGACTCCCCAGTTCAACCCAGGCAGCATTTATTCCCTCCTCTTGGATCTGCCCTGCTCCACTTTCTCAGAGGAGAGCCTGGCTCCAGGAGAGGAAGGGCTTTCCTCTTGTGAAATTGAGAAGAGGCTCAGGAGCACATCTGTCCTTGGCAGCAAATGGGCTTCATCTTGCAAAGCCACTTAGCCTGGTTCCCCTAAGCAGCAAAACCGGAAGTAAAGAGGAGCTGTCGGCCTTGGGGAGGGGAGGGGGTCTTCGCAGGAGCGCTCCTAATTCCCCAGGCTCTTCCTGTGGTCCAGGAACTCCCTCGGATGCCTGTTTCTGTCCCTGTTTGGCTCTGGAGGGGTCCACGTCTTCCTTCTCCTACCTTTCAACCAGCGTGCGGAAAAGGGAAGTCCGAGGTGCTGACGTTGCCCTGGGCTGAGCGAGGGAGGGGGGCCCTTGCAGCCCTCCAGCGGCTGCTTTATGTGCTGGGCGGTTGTGCAGCCCAGATGGCAAGATGGGCAAGACAGGCTTCTCCTGGCGGAGGAGAAGAAAGCATCCGTTTTGGGGGGGTTCAGGAGACGTTTTGAGTTGGAAAGCTGGACTTTTGGAAGCGGTGGCAGCCAGTATTTTTTAGTATTCATATTTTCTTTAGAAAAATATGGCTGTGCCCGAAGTCCCCTGGTCTTAGGCGGCAACTTCCACCTGGCCCCCCAGCAGATGGGAGTTGTAGTCCAACATCCGTGGACAGGGCCTGCTTTCCGTGGGCTACAGCTCTTCGCTCAGCCCGATCTGATCCAGCCTCCCACCTGATTTTGAGCTGGCAGCCTCTGAGGGCTCCTGTTGTGCAAGCGGCTTGGAGAGGGCGGTTGATCGGGTGGCTTGGAGTGGTTCCTCACATCGGCTGTGCTGTGTTTCTCCTTTCCACTTGCAGTACTCTCAGAAGGAAGACAAATACGAAGAGGAAATCAAGGTCCTTACTGACAAACTGAAAGAGGTAAACCTCCCCAAAACAAGGAAGCTGGTTTTCTGGAGGAGGAGGGTCAACATTGCTGGGATTTCTTTTGCTTCCTGGAATGCTGAGGTGGCCCAGGGGAGTGTCAGCCGCTCAGGGTGTGCAGAAGTGTGTTGCACTTTGTCCCAAAGCCACACTCCGCTCTTCATCCGCTCCCCTGCAGTCAAAGGAGGAAAACCTCCTTCATGGAGCGCAATAAAACCTTTGTGCAGCCGGACTGTGGAGCTCTTCTCTTGGGAATGTTGCACAAACAGGGGAGGAGGATTCCCACTCTGGTCGTATCCTGAGGGCCCGGATCCTCCGTCCTCTCCATTTCCAGTCCGTGCATCCTCTGACCAGCTTCCCGATGCTCTTTTGGGGCTTCCTCTGATGAGAGCACCCTTGTTTTTCTGGTGGGAATGGCTGAACACACCTTGGGCTGCTTCACCTCCAGTTTTGGCATTGGGGGCAGCTCTTTGTATTGCTCTGTATCCAGTGGGCTTTTTCTGGGGGAAACGCCCTGGTGGCCCAAGCCGCCTCCTGACCCGCCTACGTGTGCTTTGACCACAGGCTGAGACCCGAGCTGAATTTGCAGAGAGGTCAGTAACCAAGCTAGAGAAGAGTATCGACGACTTGGAAGGTATGTTTCTTTGCTTGCCTCTGTTCTTCTCCAGCTGCTGCTGCCCTCAGGCCGCTGCTTCCCACGGGGTGATCCTGGTCAGTCTCCCTGGACTGGGTGCCGACTGCTTGTCCCTCGGGGCATTTCCCTCTTAAGCAAGAGGTGAAGGTGCTTGAGGGGGGCTTTCAGCTATTCAGCAGCCGCCCTGTGGCAGGTATCTTAGAACCAGGCATCAGGCCCCCATCCTCCATTGGAGGCTCCTTGGGCGAGGAGAGAAGAAAGAAACGTTGCTTTAATGGAAATGAAGGGTGGGCGGTTTGAACATCTTAATGAATGTAAAAGTTGGGTTGAATATTTTATCATCCAAACGTCTCCAGTTCATTGACCGGCCTGTCTTGTCCCGGTCTGAGTTTCTTTCCCCTCAGTTAGGAATCTCAACAATGAGCTTAATTTCCAGATGCAAATAAGTGATGGTCACGGTGGTTTTTGGGTGGCAACCTCTGACTTGTTTGCGTGGGAACAGAGTCTGCGTGGCTTTGCACACCTGGATGGATGGTTTCCCTTTGCCAAAGGTTGGGATTGTGTTTTTTCCGTGGAAGAATTTCATTATTACTAGGCTCACCAAGTCTGCTTGAGAAGACCAGGATAGTTGTTGGGTTGTGGCTGCAGTGCCACCCGGACCTCTCCTGCCAAGGGACCGATGAAAGGAGCGCTTGGGCAAATACCATGTTGAGGCCTGTAAGGAGCCCAGGAGCTGGGGCTGCCAGCTGGGGCCTCAGCTTTGGGGTGAATGGCAAGGGGGGGGAGACACAGACTCCCCACGTTCGGTCATAGCCTCGTCCTCATGGAGGACCTCAGCTTGCCCTCAGTTGAGGAAGCTCTCTTGAAGAAGAGTCTCTTTAAAAAGTGGTTCAGAATTGGAGATTTAAGGAGGAAGTTGGTGTTTGGTGGAGCAGAGCCTCCAAACACTCTCTGGCCTGAGATCCTCTAAAGTGTAGGGGAGAAGAGATGGAGAAAGTGGGGTCTCTTCCCTCCCTGAGCACCAAGCGGGTCCCCTGAGGATGGACCACCTCAGGGCCATTTTCTTCTCGGGTGGGGTCTCTCCCTCTTCCAATTCCCCTGTCCTGCCTCCGTGCAGTTTGGGGTCTGGCAGCCAGGTGCTTTGAGCAAGCATCCCCACCAAGGGCAGAGGGGCCTCCACCTAGAACCAGCCTTCTGGAGACCAGGCCTACCCAGAAGCGCTTTTCCTATGACATCCCCAGAATCCTTGCTTTCCCATCTGCCAGCTTGGCTTTTTCTCGTTCTTATTTTGTGAAAACCCTTTTCAAATCCTTCTCCTGACCTCTCTTGTGTTTTATTCCACACTCTCCCTCCTGCCGATGCCTGCACACCATCCTCCCTGCTCCCGGCCGGATTTCTGGACGGCGCTTCCTTTCATCACTGCCTCCTCTTTGCACTCCTTCCATCTTTTCCTCGGCAACTCTTAGACGAGTTGTATTCCCAGAAACTCAAGTACAAAGCCATCAGCGAGGAGCTGGATCACGCCCTCAACGACATGACCTCCATGTAAATGGCGCCCTGTTTTCTGCCTCCGCATGGTCTCAAGTCAGCCTTGCAAAGTTACGCGACCCTTGCTCCTTCTGTCCTATACATTGTAAGCGTGAGCGTGCTCTTTAAGCGCCTTCTGTTAAGTTTGTAGTCCTCAGTGTTTTGGAGAGGACTGGCACAGAATGCAGTTGGCAATCAGCGGGTAGCATTGCCCCTTATTCATGCAAATACTGTTGTGTTAGCCCTGGGTTTCAGCAGCTTTTCCAGAGTCATTTAGCAGACTCTAATGAGGGGGCAAGAGAGCAATAGTCATTAACGCTCTGAGATTATTCTGAATTAAGGCTGAAGGAGCAAGTGTTTTGCCTGGACAATTCAGGGCAAGGCTCACTTGAATGAGTGTCCCTTCCTTTCCTTTCTTCTGCTTTCCTCCACTTGGTTCCACACCATTTTCTTAATCTTTAGTTTCTCCTTTCAGTTCTCTTCCGTTTCAGCATTTCTCTGCTTCTGCACCAAAGCCCCCCACCTGCCCTTCCAGTTGGCAAGCCAAACCTTCTTCTTAAGAAACTCCCCGTAAATAGAGGGTATTTTTAACGTCAGATCCAATGAGGTCCACAGTGCCTGTGCAAGCTTTTTTGTGGAAAATGCCTGTACAAGAGCAAATTCTTGAGCAGGAAAACATGTAATATTTCTCCCTGGAGTGGGATCTCTGCATTTGGCAGACGGTGGGCGCCTCTCTTGCCTCTGTGGACCCACACAAATTCACAGCAAGGGAGCCCCCTCGAAGTACAATTAACCTGAAAACCCCCTTTACTTTTGATTTTAATTAGGCAGTAGCCAAGGGTGAACGAGCACGTTTTTAGCAGAATATTCCTGAGACTACTTGTCAAGGGATTGTCTTTTGAAAAAGTATAGTATTTATTCAAAAAGCATCCCACCTTTTATGTGTTAACCTATTACACATGTACACCTGTTAATATGTGTTTGCCTTCCCATGTTTACTGAGAAAGTTATAATTATCCAGAAACTATTTAGAATGTATTTTTGGGGGAAAGTTTCACCAGATATGGTGGGCTTACAACTCCCTGTGGCCATTTTAGTCCAGCACAAAAGTTTTAGTTTGTGTAGTCCAGCACAGCCAGAAGTTCTCAGGTTAAAAAGTGGTTTTTAAAGGCTGTTTTAAATCTGTCAGTCGTTTCAAGTTTATACTGCATAAGAAATGCTAAACGGAAGTCAGTCGCACCTGACCAATAACCTTCCTACTAACCCTTGTGGAAACGGGCTGTACTAACTTACTAAAGTGGAAAAAAATCCCTAAGGCTAAGTGCCTGTTTGCATGAGAGCCATTTACTGTTGTGCAGAAGCTGCAGGTTGTTTCAGAGTGTGGAATCTCTGGCTGAAACCTCAGAGCTGAATTATACTGGAGTGATTGGCATTCTCCCGGCTTAATTGACAAGCAACAATTAGCCCTGAGTTTGCCATTCAGCAGTTTGCTTTTGTTGTTCCCTTGGATTTCCAAAGTTATAGTCTGAATAATCGATCCTTTTTGTAGGTCTGGGTTCCTTGCATATTTGGGAAATTTTATATATACGTGTTTAACATTGTCTGCTGGTTGTTGTCTTTTACAAATTACTGGGCATTGTGCAGTTGACAGGATGGGGTGTGGCATGATTAAAATGCTATTAAGAAAAAGAATTTAACTTAAGTCAAATGCCGCTTGGAAGTTCTGTGAAAAAGAGAGCGATCTCTCCCTGCTTAAAATGGGGTTGGCGAAGGGAGAGGGAAGCCTTGGCTGGAAGATGGTCCCTTTACGGAGCTTGCAAGGGCCAGAGAGCGAATGCCCACTTCAGACCTGACCCGTTTCCAAAGGAGGGTTGGGCTTTTCAAAACACAGCTCAGATTTGACCAGTAAGCAGAGGGGAGGGGGAAATATCCAAATCCACTGGCTTCGATTTCATGAAAGCTCTGCAAGGTCAGATCTTGGAGGTGAAGTTAAAAGAACGAAAGATTTGATGCCCGTAGAGGGGGCTGCCTCCAGGCTGGCAAGGCTCCCCTCGGAGGGCTTGGCTCTCTTTCTCCTCCAGGGGTTCTGTGGCTTGGCCTTGGATGCTGACCAAGATGGGGGTGAAGGGTTGTTGTAGGGCAGATGCTGTTTCCGTTATCCTGATGCATTTTTTTCTCCTCTGCTCTCCTTCCTTCCTTCCTTCCTTCCTTCCTTCCTTCCTTCCTTCCTTCCTTCCTTCCTTCCTTCCTTCCCTTTCCTCCCTCCTTCTCTCCCTCCCTCTCTCCCTCCGTTCTTCCTTTCTCCATTTGCTCTGCCATTTTTACTTCTGTTTCTTTTATCTTCACACAGATAACTGTCTTTGTTTCACTCCTCCCAAGACCTCTCTTTCGTCAGCCTGGGTGAACCATCTTTTCCAAGCTGGTACCTGCTGTCCAGTTCCTTGGCTTCCCCTCCTCCTCCTCCCCCTCTCCCTCCTCCCTTTCCTCCTGGGGCTTGCCCACAGGATGGGAGGGGGCTCCTCCCCCACCCCTCCCCTGCCCTCCCCTCTCCCCACTTTGGGCCTTTCAACTGTACAGGAACTCTACAACTTTCACTGTAAAATAAACGAAAAATCCCGACGTCGTATCTGTTTTGCTGCTCCTTTTGCCTTTTATTTATGTCCTCCATTTCAAGTATGAATAAAGTTAAAAAATTTGCTTTCTTCTGTTAGGGATTCATTCTTTTATTTTCCTTTTTCACCCGCCTGTTTCTTTTTTTGTTCTTTTTCTCCCTTGCCCCTTTCGCAGCTCTTCTGGCAGGATGGAGCCCATGCAGGGAGGGGGTTTAGCAGCTTCGAGGGGATGGCAGGGGTCTCTGGAGGGAGGGGGCTTTGCTTCGGTCACTTGCTGGATGAGCATCCTGGGCTTCACTGGGGATGCGGTGGGGGGGGGCGTTGTGGCATGGAGGGGGGAGCCAGGGCAAGAGTAGAGGCTGGAGTGGATGGCTTGGGCTGAGGAGAAATGGCTGCAGTGGGGAATGCACACCTGGAGGCCCCCTGCACACCTGGGTGGGGAATAGGCTGGGGAAGATGGAAGGCCATTCTGAGATCCCTGCTGGCTGAAGTGGGCTGGGCTGGGCCTTGGCCTATGCAGTTCTGGCTCCATCAGTAAGCCACAGTTGGGTTTTGACCAACCCAAAACCGGATTAGTGTAGAAATGGTTATGACCTAGTTAAAAGCGAGTCAGTCATTGCCCCAAAGATGTTTGCAAGGCATGGGTCATAGATCCCACCTCTTCCTCCCTCCAGCTGGTGGGAATCCTCTTGGCTCTTGAAGCCCAACTTTGAGATTCCTTGACTGGCCATTTCTGGGGCAGTTCCAGCAGCTGAGTCAATCCAGAGAGGGAGCCTCAGGTGGCTCATCCCAGCAGCAGGCCCATCGGGTGGACCTGCTCCCACATAGGCTACTTGTCCTTTACACAAAAGAGGGGGGGGTACCCCAGCCTTCTCTTGGTCTTCCTAAATCAGTCTTCTGCAAATTGAGGCTCTGGTTTCTTCAAGCCTACCATGAAATTCTGGAGGTCTTGCTCGTCACATCACCTAAAGAATCCAGAAGAACTTGGGTTGTGGACTCAGGACTAGCCAGAGTCACCTGCACAGAACCCAGGCTCAGAAGTGTCACATGTGAGAATTGCAAGCAGGGTCTTATGCATGAGCTCCCAGGGATGGGGAGGCAGAGATAGTTTGAAGACACTGGGTGGCCAGAGCAGATCTTGGACCAGGACCAGGCCGTCTCCCTTGCTGGAACTGACCAGTCCTGCCTTGTGGTCACCACCAGCACCTGCCCAGCCCTCTCCCTAGTACACACGAGTGAGCATCTTCTGACTAGGAGAGATGGGTTCCCCACTGGGCTGAGCCACGCCTGGCCCACCACTGATGGTGGAACTGCCTTCCTTCCTTCCTGAGATGCTTCATCAAAGGAGGTACAGAGCTCCTGCCTTGGTGTGTCTGACCTGTTTCTGATCTGTCCTACTAAACTGACTCTCTACAGAGTGACGTTCGGGGATAACCCTTTCTCTCTAACCGTTTCTCTTCTCTCTGCCTTTTTCCTTCCTTCTGTCCGCTTGCCGATTTGCACAGACCAGCTCTACCAACAGCTTGAGCAAAACCGGCGTCTCACTCATGAGCTGAAGTTGGCCCTGAATGAGGATTAAGCTTTCGTACTTCCTAACCCATGTGTCTTGACTCACCTGCCGTTGAATGATGCGAGAGACCTGTGTCCGCTGCTGGTTGGGGCTGAAGCTGGGTGGGCCTAGGAGGTTTTAAGATTCTGTCTTGGCATGTCCTTTTCAACCTTAAGATGGGCTGCACTCTTGATCATAGTTTGATAAAATGAGACCAAGGAGTCTCCTCCTTGGAAGGGGTAGTTTTACTAGCAGTTCTGGGCTTGGGGGTGGGGGGAATGCTGAAATCGGAATCTTGGTGAAGTTTGCTTCCTGTTGGGCTCAGGGATGAGATCTGAACTCTCAGTTTTCTAGCCCAAGTCAAAACAACTTTGTGCATGGGCAGCGGAAAAGGGTCTTTGGTCGATCACCTCTGCCAGTTTTGTGGTACATTTGCATCGTTGTGAAGCTGCTGTTGCTGTGTTGATTGTATGTGGATCTCGAGCTTTTGTGCTTTTGTCTCCCATCACAGACGTGAATTTAATGCCTTTCCTACACAATATGCATGTGACTTTACACTAACAGCTATTGCAAAAGCTGCTTTACTTTTCCCTAGCAGCAGAACAATACCTGAAACTTCCCTAGCAGACAGATAGCTGCCTCTTTCCTTCACCCTCCACGTTGTCATGTTCTACCATTTCTGCAGTCCTGGTGGAGTAAAATTGCAAAATACTCTTGTCAGCATTTTTAGAACATGGATTTTTCTTTTCTTTCTTCTGCAACCTAACTTTGTCCCCACCTTTTTAAATTTGTGATAGAAAAAGGGCAGACTTACTTTCTTTCTTTTTAGAAGACGGGTTGAGTCAGCCAGTTGCCGCAGCAATAACTGACAAATCACCAACTCCGTTAGGTGTTTAAGGTGCTCAGGTTTTGCCTTAAATATGCCAAAACAAGTTTGTCACTTGACTTGGCCAGATCAGTTTGGGGTGCTTTATCCCTTTTTTTATTTCAAATACTTTGACTGCCATAGTGAAGCTATGCATAGGTGTTTCACCGCAATGTTTGCCTTCCTGCCATTAAAGGATGCCTCCAAATGACTCCTTTTCATTTTTTTTGACCCAAAACAGAAAAGGTGGCTAATGCAAAAGAAGAAAACTTCAATATGCATCAGATGCTGGACCAAACTCTACTGGAGTTAAACAACATGTGATAAGTCTCTTAGCTGGGACGGTGCCAACATCAATCATTTCTAGTTCTTTTTTTTTAAAAAAAAAAACACCTGCTTGCCATGAAACCTCTTGAAATGTGTCCTTATTTTATCATTCCCACTCCCCCCCCCATGTTGCCACAATCATTACAGGCCCATCCCCTCTATCCAGATGTGGAGTCGGGGGAAAAATTAAGACGGGGAACAAGATGCAGGAGTTATAGGGGGCATCTGCCAGCTATGGGGTGCCCTTCTTGGGACTCCTGTTGCCTACGCTTTGGATGGAGTCGGTTAATGCCAAGTGTCTGCAGGCTCCAAAAAATGGGAATATTCTTTTGTTAGGATTGCCAAGGTAGATCTCCTTCAGTTTAATTGTCAGGGACGCAGAGTGAAGGCGGGAGGGGATTTTAATCAGCTTGTTTTGAAAGAAAAGGCAGCCACGCCACCCTCCAGCCCCTCCGTGGATAACTCAGCACTTCGCCCAGCCAGGAACTGTTTTTTTCCTGGAGGGGCCTGAGGCTCAGCATGAAAAGAAACTTCAAGCATCGGCGACATTTTGGTCTGCAAAAGGTTCTGTGGCGGCTTTGAAGCTCTGTTGTGCTTGGGAGTCATCCTTACCTTACACGGAGAACTTCCCACTGCAATTTTTATGTTGTCTGAACCAAATACTTTTTGATGTCTGCCACCTGTTTGTTTGACACGCCTTTCCCTTGTGTTGTTTTGAGCAGTTTTGGAGAATCATTTCTGTATGTAAACATTGTATAATTGATGATAATGAAATAAAACACACACTCTAGAACATTTTTTTTTAAAAAAAAACCCAACGGTTGTAGCCTTGTGATCTTTATTCTGCTACCTGAAGAGTTCCATCACTGGAGGTTTCCAAGCCAAAGTTGGATGGTCATTTGCCTGAGATGGTTTGTGGATTCCTGCTGGGCGGATTGGTGGAGAGTGAAGGTTTTCAACTTTGGCAATGTCCAGATGGGTGGATTTGGCTGGGGAATTCTGGGAGTTGAAGTCTACCCATCTGAAAGTTGTCATGTTTGAGAAACTCTGGTCTTCATGTTCCCCTTCTTCAACCCTACGATTCTAGGGCAGGAATGTCCAACCTTGGCCACTTTTTAAGATCTGTGGCCTTCAACTCCCAGAAATTCCCAGCCAGCTACAGGTCTTAAAAGTTGCCACGGTTGGACACCCAGTTCTAGAGTTTACTTCTCCTTGCAATGCGATGCGATAGCCAGGCCCTTAACTATGGGACAAAGTTAAACTTTGCTAAATGAAACCAGACTTCGTCTAAACTGGAGATAATTTTGGCAAATGATAAATGATTCTGCTTTATTGGGAAAGCGGGAATGAGAGTTAAAACAACAAGTGGTGCTAGGGGCCCCATCTGGTCTGCATTTTATGGCAGGTTTGAAAATTATTTGGCCTGGCCTGGTGCCCAAGTGGATGGGTTTAAAACTTAATTGGAACTGCATTCCCCTTCATTTCATGGATTCTGCTCTAGTCCATGTCTAGGGAGTGATTGTGAGTGGCCAAAATATCTGGCCTCCTGGGCTTTCCCCCTCTCCCCCCAAACAGGTCATTGCTCCTTCCGTTGTTGATTTTTGGGCTAAAAGGGCAGAAAAGCACATCCCTGGGACATTTGAACCCCCTTCATTTTAACCGGCTGTTCAGTGAACTCAAGGCAGCCCAAAAATGGCTCCAGAGACAATAAGCCTCCAACTCTTCTGCTTGCTCTTCTGCACTCACATTTTATACACTCCTGTCGGGAGAGGGGCTAAAATGCAGCTTGTCTTCAGGTAATACATGAAAACTGTATTTAGTAACTGCAATTGAGACTGGCTAGTGGTTGGTTAAATGAAGTGGTCACTAAGTGAAACGGTAACTGCTTATTCTCTGACTTCAGCTTTCTTTTGGTTCATTGACTTGCCAAGATCGTACATGCAAGAACTAGTCGCAAAGTGACTTTTTCCTCACTGTTGTAACTGCAAACAGTCACTAAATGGCACCAGCAACCTGCGAGGCTTGGGGGTACCCATGAAGCCCTTCTAGCCAGTGGCCCGAGTCCCAATTCAAACCACTTTAACTTGGCTGGAGAAGGCACGTTCTTGGCGCCTGCTATGCCCAGCGCCGCCTTTCTCTGGAGCTCCGGGGGGAAGTGATGGAGCAGTTCAGGGATTGGCATGAGCAGGTCTCCCGTGTGCCCTCCAAGTCCAAAGAGGAGCAGCCCCAGGAAAAACAATCTTGAAGGCGGCCTTCAAGGGACTCCGGCTCCCAGGATCCCCACGTGGGGATGATGGTCAATGTGCACTGGGAAGGCAAACCTCCAACCCTTATAGGCATGGACTTCAGCTCCCAGAATCCCCCAGCCAGCAAGGAGGGGAATTCTGGGAGTTGAGATCCCTCCCTCTCCACTAGGACTAAGCCAGGGCGGCTGAGCTTGAGAAACTTCAGCCCTGCCTTGTGGCGACTGGATCGAGGCTTCCCACGGCCAGCAGGGGAGCTCCCTCGGCCCTCCTCCGATCGGGGCACTCGGCGCTCGATCGCGCTTCCTGGGGGCGGGCGCTCCACCCGGAAATGGGCCGCTGGCTTCGCTCGGGGAGCGGCTGCTCGCGCCTGGCCCGCCTCCTAGCAACGCGGGCCTAGCAGGGCGCGGAGCCTGAGCCTAGCGTGAGGCCGGCGGGGCGCGATGTGGCTGCTCCTGCGGGGCGTAGCGGCGCGGCGGGCCGCCCTGCGACTCATTGGAGGCGCTTTCCGGGGCGGGGGCGGCGGCGGCGGCGGCACCGGCGCTCGGTGGCCCGTGTGGCGCCTGGGGGTGGGCCTGGGCCTGGCGGTGACCGCCGTAGCCGTAGCCGGGCCGGAGACGGACAGCGAGGAGCGGCCGTCCAGAGAAGCGGCCTTCCAGCGGGCCGTCGCCCGGAGCAGGGACCTCCTCCAGCGGCTAAAGGTCGGAGGGTAGGGAGCATGTACTCTGAGCATGTACAGAGTTCCCAAAGTGGCCTGACGACTCCCCCCCCCCTCGGTAGGGTGTCCGGCTATCCAGGCGCCGCTTATTCGCCCCGAAGCCTTGTTTGAGGGGGCGCAGGGCCTCTGAGCATGTGCCGAGTGTCCCTCCTGGGCATGGGCAGAGCGCTCTTGGCATAAAGGAGGCAGGGAAGGTCAGGCCGAGTTTCCTTGAACAGGGCCCAAAGGACTGATTGCCCCCCCTTTTTTTTTCCTCACTGGAAACCCTTTTGCAGACCCCCCCCCTTCTCCCCCCCCCCCCCCCCCCCTCGATGCCCCTCAGCTGCCTCCCCCGAGGTCTGGTCATGGGGGGAGTCAGACACAAGCTGGAGGGGGGCTCGGGCTGAATGAACCTTTTGCTCCCCAGGACCAACTGGGGGTCCCCGGCGTGGTGGTTGGCGTGTCCGTGGACGGGAAAGAGGTCTGGTCGGAAGGTGAGTCGGTGCGTTCCCTTCACTGGCAAAATGGAGAGCCCAGCCCAGTTCGGATGGGCTGCACCAGAAAACGAAATATGAATATGGATGAAGAATAAGACCTTTTGGAAGTCTGTAAACATCGCAGGCACCCTTAAATTAAACTGCTTTGGAATGAAACGGGTGCTGGAACAAAAGTGTTTTATTTACGGGTTATATTTAAAATTAAATATAATTAAGCACAGTGTTTCCAGCCATACTTGCCCTGCATAATGAGAAAACATTTGGCCAGTGGACGGTGTTTGGCTTTCTAGCTTCCAGTCATGGTTTCAGAGTTCAATTGCCTCTTCTATTAATAACATGCATGCTTTTTCAAAGCAAAATTTATATTATTGTCTATATGCTCATTCTAATTTTTCTTTGCGTAAGCATATTGAAAATCGTTCGGCTTACATATGGTTCATCCTTGTATAATGTTTATGAGCAGAACTTAATGGATCTAATAAGACTTGCTCAGGAGATTCCAGTCCGCTGAGGTCAAGCCGTTCCTGCTTTGCAATGCTTGCTTTGGCTTGCCAGGCAGCCGGCACCCCTTAATTTTGCTTGAGGAAGTCTGACTTGTACCACGGGTGACCTAGGATGAGATAATTCATTTGTCTTCGGTTCTGTTTTTGTCTCTTTTTCCCCCTCACAAACAACACCGGGAGTTAATTGGTGTTTTTCTGTATGTTCATATTGAACAAATAAGAGACACGTGTTCTTGCTTTAGAGTACTGTATGTCATGCCTTTCTTTCCTCGTGATTCTCACTGGATCAAAGAGCTGTTCTACTTGTGCAAACTATTAGGCCAAGAAGATACGACCATTGCTGATCTTATGGGGAGGAAAGACCCTTTGATATTTAGAGCATTGGGGGTTTGGGGACTTCCTTAAATAATTGACTCCTGAATCCTTTAAAGGTATAGGTTACGCTGACCTGGAAAACCGTGTGCTCTGCAGTCCAGAGACTGTCCTACGAATTGCCAGCATTAGCAAATCTCTGACCATGGTTGCTGTTGCAAAGCTGTGGGAAGAAGGGAAGCTGGATTTAGATACTGCTGTGCAGAAGTATGTTCCGGAATTTCCCGAAAAAGAATATGAAGGTGAAAAGGTAAATAAGGCTGGTTATTCACAGCATCATCGTCCAAAAACCTCCTTGGCCACGTTCCAGTGGTGGAAATATGTCATGAACCTAATTTAATTATAACTCACGTAGATGACATCAAAATGAATTTGGGTCTTTTAAAAATTTAGGTCACTATTACCACAAGGCTGCTTGTGTCACATTTAAGCGGTATTCGCCACTATGAGAAGGATATTTCTAAAGTCAAAGAAGAAAAAGAAAAGGCCAACAGAAAAGCAAGAACAGCAGCTTCTGCTGCGAAAGAGAAAGAAGACAAAGACACTGAAAAGAGGGATTTGGCTAAAGGCAAGCCGGAACAGGAAGGCAAGCATGCAAAAAGTGGAAAGAAGAAGAGGGAGTTTGAGCATGAAGAGTATTATTTGAAGGACAAATTTGAGCATGTGATTGACTCACTGAACATCTTTCAAAATGATCCTTTATTCTTTAAACCAGGTGAGTTGCTCATCCATCCAGACTGTAGGCAATGGAGTCAGTTCACCCTTTGTGCTAAGCCATAGAGTAGTTTGTTTGGTGCATGCTTATTTAGTAAACATCATTAAGCAAACCATTGTTTAGTGGGATTTGTCTAACCAATCGGGGCTCAGCTAAACCATGATGTGGCTCCATATAAGAGCAGTGTTTTGTTTTCTTATAAGAAGTTAAATTACAAATAAAAATAATAGGAATTCAGGTAGCAAGTTAAATGCGGAAGATGGAGAAAGCAACTCTTTTTTTTTACTTTGAATACATAGCCCAGTACTTTTAACTATTACAAAATCTAACCTTGTAAACTTTACAAAGTATACAAAAATATGCTTTCTCTCTGAACAGGTAGATCCTTTCTTGAGCAGACTTAGAATACAGACCATCCATGACTGAGCTTCCGTAACATAAACTTTTGTGTGAAATGAGGGTTGTCTTCTCTTTTGATTCCTTAAGGTAGTCAGTTTTTGTATTCGACTCATGGGTTCACTCTCCTGAGCGCTGTGGTGGAGAGAGCTTCAGATCAGAAGTTCACCGACTACATGCTGAAGATATTTAGTGACTTGGGCATGGGATCCACAGGGTTGGACGAGAATGAGCCTCTGATATACAACAGGGCAAGGTAAATAGCCAGGCATGTATCCCCATCTTTGCTCATTTCTTTCAACTGAATAGTGAGCCTTGTTCCGTTGCATGGACAGATGTGTGTAAAAAGAGGAAGGGCTTCTCTTTGCTCCCTGTATTGAATATAGTTGTTTGAAAAGGACAGCTGCTCACATAAGTCAGACATTTGGTGATTTGGAATCAAACGTGAGTCTCTAGGAGATTTCTTTCGAAAGCCTGTCAAGCACATCACGGGTATAAATGAAAATAAATCTCACAGTCATCATAATTCTGTTTTAATGAAGGAATCCTGTAACACCAGAGAGCACTGCCATCTTGTGGCTCTTTTCTCGATACCCACAATCAACTCCAGGGAAAAAAGACAATCAGCTCAGAGATCTCTTGAGCTGCAGGATGGCTTTTCCCAGCTGCTGAGCTTAAGAGAATGAGAGGGAAAGTGAAACCTAAACTCTTTTGTCCTTAGGTTTTCATCCGAGATTTGTATTGCGTTAGTCCTCTGTTTAATTAATGAGGTTTACCTTTCTTCCTTCCAAACTGCTTTTTTTGCGGGAGGATGGACCACATCTGATATAAAGCTCATATTCCAGCATTCCCCTAGCTGGCATGTTGCCTCCTGAGATCTTTGTTGTTGTTTTTTCTACTTTTGAAGAAGGCTGCCTTGGGGTGGGCTCCCTCCTTACTGTGGACCTGTCGTCTGAAAGGACAGAATGCTGTCCTTGTTGAGAGAAATGAGGTTGGATATATGAGGTTTTTCAAGAATGTTAGTATGGCTTTTCTGTACCTGGCAGAGATGATCCAGAGCATTAGATTGCTGCTTATTAACTGGCCAGTACTTCTCTGTTTTGTGTGCTTTATTTGGTCGCCAATGGCCATTTGGGCAGGGAATTCTGTCAATCTGTATACATCAGAAATAATCCAGTGGTTGATTATCCATGTAATAACCGCAGCTAGAATTGAATTTGCACAAAATTGGAAAAGCGAAGAGATCCCTATAGATGAAAAAGTGATTAAGAAAATATTAGAATGTGCAGAAATGAATAAATTAACACAATTCAAGAAAAAGAAGAATCAGATTATTATAATATATGGGAGTTATTTTATCAATGGTTAGAGAATAAATATGAAAGCAATGTATTGTAAAAATAGATAAGTAAAGAAGAGAAATGTTAGGTTTGTTATTTTATCAGTATTATTATTTAGTATTAATATAAGAATGAATGTAAGAAATGAATATGGCGGTAAGTTTAATTGTTAAGACACAAAGAATTTTATATTCAGATGACACACAACATAAGATGGAATGTTTGTATTACAAGAAAATTTAAAAAAAAATTAAAAAAAAAAAGAAATAATCCAATGGCAGAAAGCTGCTTTAGCCTAGCAAATATATGGATTATTTTACTTTATGCTGTGAATTCATTGAGCATCCTTGTTTCACTCCAGGTATTACATTCACAACAAAAAAGGCCATCTTGTCAACGCCCCCTATGTGGATAACTCTTACAAGTGGGCTGGTGGTGGCTTTGTGTCCACCGTGGGCGATCTTCTCAAATTTGGAAATGCCATGCTCTACAGTTACCAGCTTGGGTGGGTGAAAAACCCGGCTGCTGGACTCCTTCCTGGTTATCTCAAGCCTGACACGATAGCAATGATGTGGACCACAGTCCCAAGCACGAGAGTCTCCCAGGACAGTGATTATGCCTATGGAATGGCCTGGGTCGTTGTAGAGAAGAAGCAGGAATGGGGCCACTGCAAAGAGCAGCAACACTACACCTTCCACACTGGTGGGGCTGTAGGAGCAAGTAGCGTCCTCCTCATCCTTCCTGAAGAATTGAGCTCTGGGCCTGCCAGCGGTAGCTGCCTGGTCCCACCCCGTGGTGTGGTCATCACAATTATTTGTAATATGCAGTCTGTTCACCTTGATGGCATTGCCTTAAAAATTGCAAAGGAATTTGAAAAGGTCAGGTTAGCACAATGCTCTAATCAAAGGTTGGAGAAGGAATGTGGAAGACTTGAGTGATTACAAGAATTTGTAACCCAGGAGGCCTCCCTCTCTCTTTTTAAGTGGATAGCGCAGCATTAGGTTTGATCACTCGTTGAGGGGACAGGAATGTAGAGTTTTTCTGATTCAAGTAACGAAAGGCATTAGCCAAATACATGTGCCAATCGGACAGTTCACCTCCTCTTCTGCAAATTGTGAAGCACGGAATGTATGCTTGGAAACCTCTTTGCTCTCCTACCTGAAGTCTGTGGGGCAGAGTCTTTGCTTTCAAAATGGGAATGGCAAATTTTGCACTGCAGTGAAGACTGCTCTTGGGGAATTGCAGTCATGGACAGAGGGGGGATCTCATCTGGCAAGGTTTGGGTCTCCATGGGCCTTTGCAAGGGTGGTCCCACTTGGAAGACATCTTCATCCAAACAGTGAATAAAACTGCTTTCCCTCGTGGCCGAGGCAGTTACCGATGGAGGCCACTCTAGCAATATGCAAAATTGATGCAGAAAATCACACTGCCAATACCATGGAATCGGCTGTCCAATATAAGCCTCAGAGCAGGTGCCAGCATTAGAATTCTGCTTGGTGGATTACTACTTTTTTAATAACTTGCTGCCAACAGATTGTGATTGCTCCATGTGACCATCAAATATTTGATTCCCTTTTCCCAAAAACAAGATGAAAACGAGTGTCTTAAAACTTTTCAGGGCTGTTTACAAAGGCTGCAGATTTAAGCTCTGTTAAGTAAAAGGGGACTGCTGAGCAGACGTGTAAATGCAAGCTAAAGATCTTTTGTCTGGGAATTTTTTAAAACAAACACTGCACTTTCAAATTCATATTCAAGCTGTACCTCTCATACAGGGGGTTCTCTTTCAGAAACGCTATCTCAGAATTTCCCTGGAATTTTATTGCACCGTATAGGCGTCCATCATACGTTTTCTGTTTTATTAAACCTACCAATTCCCTTTATATTATTTAGGAGTTAGGAAAGTGATCAACATTTTGCTGATCTTGGTAGTGAATTTTACTCTGAAATTTGTCTTGGTTTTTTAGCAAAGACCCAGCCTTGGTCTTGCATAAATGCTAGACTTTCAGTAAAGATTTGGATTAAAATTACAGGAGTAGTTCAGGAGCTAGTGCACAGAAGGTAGATTTTGAAGAGGATGATCTGTTTTCCTCTTTTTCTTCCATAATGGGCGGGTTAATCATAAACACATTCTATTCCATCTTAGAATTATGGAATGATCTATTAGTGTTATTGGTTTAAGTGCCAAATAATCATATTTTCCCATGTGTTGCTTTTAAAAAGTTGGACACGTGAACGAATGGTAGTTAAACCGGTTTGACTTGGGGGATCCACCAACTGCTTATGCTGGCTGCTGATAATGTAAAATTGTATTTAGATTTTTTTTAACCCAGTTAGCTTCCCTTAATCAATAAACACTTTATAATGTTTGCACTGTTCAACTGGTGTTATCTATTCCTTCAACTGAACTGGCTGCTTTTCTAGGAGGGGAGGTGGAGTACGGAATCCGGGAGACCAAATTGCTCCTTTCTTTGTATCAGACAAGACAAGACCAGATTACCTCTTTAGGAAAAGGGGAAGATGATCCTCTGGTGGCATTAAGTACCTTGCAGACGAAATCAGGAAAAAGAAACGTCATGTTAAGAGTCACGTTTTTCATTTCCGAAAGCTAATTGCCTTTGTTTTACGGTCAACCTGACGTTCAGAAAAGCAGCGCAGACCCCAGATGAGGAAACAGCTGGACCCAAGAGAGTTAAGGTTTAAGATGTGCTCAGCAGGGAAGAAGGAACCCACCCGTCCGAAAGGTCTGCTTCTCAACAGGCGCCGTTGTCGAGCCTGGGGCTGCAGGCATTTCTTCTCTACTTCGCTGACATGAAGGGGTCTTTGCAAGGGGCCAACCGGCCTTCCTCGACGGCCGCTCATCTCACACGGAGCTGGCGCAGCAGATGCTGCCGGGGCTAAGCGGAGAAGGCAGCCGGCTGGAAGCCCCTCTCCCGGGCGGGCGAGGCGTGGCGCTGGAGGAGGAGGAAGAGGAGGAAGCGCGTCGCACCCCAGAAGCGAAGTCTGCCACGAGGGGACCCGCCTTCCACGCCCGGATGGCTGGATCCAGGCACCTGCTGAGCCAAAGCCGGAGCGGCCCGTGGCGGAGAAGGGCGGGCGGGGGCGGGGGCGGAGGGGCCGCTCAAACTGGGGCCTTCGGGGAGAAGATCTGCCGGGCAGAGTGCGCAGGACTCCCCCCCCCCCCGCCACGGTCGGTTGGGTCTTCCAGCACGGAATGTACCAACCAGCCCCTCCCCCCGCCCCCTTCTGCTGGGGGGCTTCCTTCGCTCTGGCTTGGGCTCCAGCGGAGTTCCTCAGCGCCTGGGGGAGGTGCCGGCGGCGGGTCCTGGGAGCTGAAGCGCACGTGCCTTGAAGCCCCCTCCGCCCAGCAGGGCTTAGAGCCCGCGAGCGCCCCTCTTCGCTGCCAGAGCCTGGAGGGTCCCCGCGTGGGCTCCACGGCTTCCTTGCTGGGCGAGGATCGGGCCGTTGCGCAGACCCCGCTCGCCCAGCGGTGAAGCCCGCCCGCCGGCTGCAAAGCGGCGAAACAGCCCGTCCCTTTGGGCGCCCCGCCTCTCGGTCGTGGCGCATGCGCAGCGCGGGGCTGGGAGCCGCCTCGGACCACAACTCCCGTCATCCCGCGGGAGCCGCCGCGTCCCGGCCCCGCCCCGCCCCGCCCCCCCCCCCCCCCCCCCCCCCCCCCCCCCCGCCCGTCAGTCGGCGGCGGCGGCGAAGATGGCGAAGACCTACGACTACCTCTTCAAGCTGCTGCTGATCGGCGACTCGGGCGTGGGCAAGACCTGCCTGCTCTTCCGCTTCAGCGAGGACGCCTTCAACACCACCTTCATCTCCACCATCGGTGAGGCGCCGCGGCTCCCGCCCTCCCCTCAGGCGCCCCCGCGGGGGACCCCAACTCCCACGGCGCGCGGGCGGCGGGAAGCGGGGGCAGCGCGCCCCCCCTCCCCCCCTCCCTCTCCCTGGCCTGGGAGCCTCCCCCGCCCAGCGGCCCCGCCCTCCCGCGGGGGTCCCTGCGCCCCACCCCCACCCCTAGCCCCCCCCGCTTCCTTCCTGCCCTCAGGGATGGCGGGGCTGCTGAAGGGCCCCTCCGCCCCCTCCCCCCGCGTGGCCTCCCCGGAGAGAGCCCGGCTCTGGTGCCGGAGGGAGCCAGGTGGGGGGGGGGCTGCCCCTTTGGGCCCATCCTGGCCGCTCTGCCAACGGAAAGAGGCCCCCGGGCGTCCTTCGTGCAAGGGGGGCTTTGGGCAGGGTGGCCATGATCCCTCTTTGGGGTCCGGCGGGGGCTTCTTCCTTTTTGACCAGCCTCTTTGCCGGGAACGCCTTCCAGGAAATGGACCTGAGCAGGCCAGGGGTCCCTCTGGGTGGGCTTGGGAAGGGCTGCCTCCTTTCCTGCCGGGACCCCCTCTTCTTTGGGGGGTGTTTAGGGGGATGATGGTGACAAGGCGGGGGTGGGCACCCTCTGAGTCACAGTGGCCTTTTATCACATTCGGTTCCTAAAGCAACAGTTTTCAAAAAGCCATCATTTATTCATCTGTGAATGCAGCGCCATAACTATCCCGGTGCCACCTTTGGTGCCGTGACACAGAGGCACAAAAGCATTTTAAGAAATTATAACTCCGCATTTTCGTGGCCAGGGGTAATGATTACTATATGTGATAAGAAACACCCTTGACGAATCTTTGAACTGCCTGTGTGACTTAGTTGCAATTTGTGCTGTTTACTCAAAGTGGAATTATTTTTTCTTCTTATGCTAGGTAGCCAGTATTTATTGCTTGAGCTTTTTATATACAGATTTTATACCTTTGGTGCTCGGTTCTTGTTTTTACTTATTTCCAATCATTGTATTGAGCTACTTAGCGGTAAAAAACATGGGCACCCTGTATGTACATCTCTTTTGCTGTGGTCTCAATTTATAGTTGGGGTGCCCACTTCGGGCCTGCAGAGGCTAAGACCCAAAGCATTGGGAAGTAACATTTGGCTTGGTTGATACACAAAAGCAGAGTCTTAGCAGGATCATTTAGCTTCACTGATCCAGAATTTGTTTTTTGGAGAAAAGGTGCAAGAGGTTCATTGTTTTGGTTCCAGGTTTACTTGAGCAATTTCAGTCCAGATAGTGAACAGTAGATGTACCCAACTATGTTCGTCTTGAAAGGATAATGTAGCCAAAGCACCAACAGAGAAGAGTAAAAGGTCCAACTGACTGAGAAACTTCTGAAAGGGAACTTGATTGTTGTGCCAAGTAGTTCAGCTCCTCTATTGACTGGGTTCTCACATTGCACTCACGGTCTGTGTTTTGAGTTCGCCTGTAGCAGGAACACCGGGCTTCAGAGCAGAACCTTTCCCAGCCTTGCCTTGCTCGCTCTGAGCTACACCACCGGATTGACCCCAAAAGAAGGTGTTGCCTCTGGGGGTCTTCTCAGCAGCCCCTTCAGGGAGGGAAGTCCCCGGCACGGCCGCTGCCATTTTGGCTTCCTCAGAGCATGGTGGCTTCCCAAAAAGGCTGGCCTGAACTTCCCATCCAAGATGGGAACAGAGAACAGTTGACTGGAGGAAAGGGTGTTCCTTTGGTTCTTGCTGAAATGTCACAGTGCTGAACGCTGAGTGTCCAGAAATTATCAGGAAATGAAAGGAGTTACAAGAAAAATTGCTCAGACTGGATGCTGAAGGGCGTTAAGCAAGCATGAATTCTTTTAGTAACCAGTCTTGAGCAAATGACTTCATGTTCTCTGACATTTTGTGGGTTTTTTAGCTTCCCTGGCATATTGTTGTGCTAGGGATATAGATAGAATATCAGCATGTGAGCCTTCTAAACGTTGGGGCTGTTCCTGTGTGCCATGCGAGAAAATGTTAATTATTCAGCTCCTGTAAATGGGGTTCCTGTGTGGTGAAGCCTTGTGTTCTAGCCTTTCTTCCTGTTGAATTAAACGTGTCCCTCATGCCACCAGCGCTCTGCGTTCCTGTCTAAATTGTCTTTAACAAAATGCATCCCAGACCGATCAGGGTTTTCTTTTGTTTTTTTATTGGGGGGGGAGGTTTGTATTGTCCAGATATATTTATTGTACTTGAAAATATCTCAGGCTGGCAGGGGAATTCTGGGATTTGGAGTCCACAAGTCTTAAATTTTCCTGGTCTATCCTGGTCTAAAGTATTCCTTAGTCAACCTAGGTTACCGTGCAATTAAACTCTGAGAAGTTTCCTTGAAGCCGGGTTCTTCCTAGGGGATGTATATATGTCATGTCGCATTTATTTTGGCTGAAAGAAGGGGAACCTTGAACAGAGACGGGACGTGCAGGAAAAGCCTGTCGTTCCTTCACAACTTCGCTAGAACCTTCTGATCCTCCTCCTGCTGCAAAATCTATCGTTTGTTGCTGGGAGACATTTTGAGAGGCCTCGGCTGCTCTATCTTTAGGCGTGGTTTGGTTCTTGTTCTTCCTTTCAGGCTTCATTCTCCCTCCCGCCTTGCCAACTTTGGTGGGCCAATGACCTGCAGATGTGCTGGACTACAGTTCCCATCCCCAGCCAGCATTCCATGAGTCCAGACCCTGATGCAGCTCTGCGCATTTAGTGGAAGGGCTGTTCTCTGCAGGCAGGATTTTACCGCTTCCTCCAGGGGAAACTCTTGCTCTTAAACTAATCTAAAAGGGAAGTGAAACTTGACAAGATGGCCTGCAGCTTGCTTCAGAAGCTGCTCGATCGTTGCATCAACTTCTAAAAGTTGCTCTCGAGTTACCAGGCTCCCTCCCGACCTCCTGGCATAGATAGCGGGGCTGTTTGACGGCTGCAGCCACCCCACTCGGGCCCCGCCCACTTGATTGATTAATTGATTACTGGGCAATGTGTGTCCTGGGGAAGTTCAGAGAAGTTGGAAGCCTCTCTTCTCTCCGGGGAGCAACAAGCTCTTCTGTTGCTGGCAGCAGTGACCTGGCTTGCGTTGCGTACAGGGCTGGCTCCCTTGTGATCTGGGAGGGGTTCAGATTCAGTCCAGGAACTTGCTGACTATGAAACAAATTTGTAATATTTACATTCTTATCCGAGATGAAATCTGGATTCACCACAGTGTCCGTAATGCTGCTTGTGTGCTCGGAGGGCTTTTTTCTCTTGGAAGTGGTGCGTCTGGATTTCATTTTCCCAATTTAATTCAAAGGAAGGTGAAGTAACAGCAGCTTCTCAGCACTCTGGAGCATGGCTGTAAGATATGGGGACTTCAACACCAAGATTTCCCCAGCCAGCAAGGGATTCTGGGAGTTGAAGTCCACCCATTGTAAAGTTGCCAAGTTTGAAAAAAAACACTGTGAGGCCTTGCTTTAGAAACACCAGTTTAATATTCTTCGTATGTGATTTAAATATAACAGCACTGAACCCTTTAGTAGTGAACGAATATACTTATAACACAATTGTGAGTTAGAGGAACAAAAATAGCTGTCCAATTTAATTTTGCATGAGGCCATGATCCCATTCAGGTAAATGCCAAGTTCTCAAGGCTGCACGTGGGTGGGAGACAGGATATACTGGCACTGGAGGAAGACAGCATCAAACCATTTCTGTAATTTTGCAAAGAGTATAAAGTGGACCTAACCAGGAAGGAACCCAAACTGCTCAATGGAATTTTAATTTCTTTTTTGTCTCAAATTTATGTTGCTGAAGAAAGTTGGAGTACCACCTTACCAGTGAGCGCGTAAAGAACACAGAGCATCTCATGTAAAAGATTGCTGTGATCATATTAAATGTTTTTCACTTGTAGCCATCGTCTGCATCAGATCTGTGGTTGCTGCTTTGTGGAATTTAGAAAGTGGAAAACTGGCATAAACGGAAGCATCTCAGCTTTTTTGCGTGTAGGAGTGTATTTGGGGGGATATCCTGTGCCTGAGTTCAAATACCTTCTGCAGAAAACAGCGGAAGGTAAAGCAAGTGGAGACTTGTCACCATGTTGTGGTGACTAGAAGCTTGGAAAATGTCCATACGGCTGGCCCTTCTAGATCAAATATCTGTAGAGTTTACACCCCTCCCTCCGGGCCACACTATCAGAGGTGCTTGTGATGCCTAAAATATCAAAAAAATACACTGGGGGGGGGAGAGGGGGGAAGAGGAGGAGGATTTTTTTGCAGGTGCCTATCTTGGTTTTTCAGCCTCCGACGGCTTAACGTGTTCTAAGAGATGCTCATCCCTTTCCTAAGAGGAGCTTCCTGTTAGTGCATGGTGGGGGCGGGGATCAGAACGATTCTGCTACTTTCCCCCAAATATGTGCCTCTTAATGAACCTCAGACAAAGTGCCCACCTGCCCTGGGTTTTCACATGCAAGGCCCGCCTGGCTTAGTCTGTGGCTTGCCTTGACGACTCTGAAGCAGGAGTCCTGGAGGATTGTTGGCCTTTTTTCCCTCCCCGCCTTCTGGCTCTGCTTTCAGGGTGAAGCCCTGGCACCCTTTGCCTCCCCCGTTTGACAGATGCCCGGTAGCTTCATCCCCTTTAATTGGCAGATGACGCTGCCTTTGATTCTGCGGGTCTCATTTGACTGAGACAAATGGCTTGTTTAAATACTCATTAACCTTTAAGAACATTAGGCCCCTGCGTTCAATTCCTAACATCTGCTGGGTGGAAGTTACCGTGAGCGGCAAGGGAAGCGAGCATGTTCCAAAGAATAGGTGCAAAAGGCCTGCTGTGATTCAACCACTAGGTGCTGTTTTAGGGTTGTCTGGCATCTCTAACAATTATATTCTTGTTTGATCTTAAACTCAAATTCTGATCCGGTTTCTTGGCAGGAAACATCTTCGATTGTCTATTAACTTTGAACTACTACTGTAGGCCCTCACGCACAAAGCAAAGCAGTTTTTAATCCTGCTTTTTGCC